CTCAACATCTGCATAGAGTTTGAAAGAATATCTAAGCTGGCTCTTGAGAAAGCAGAAAGAGAAACGAGAGGTCGTGGCAAGCGAGCTCACAAGGACGATAATGCTCCGGTCAAGAGTATTGTGGAGCAACAGATCGAGGCACAGGCATCTTACAGGCAGCCAGTCAAGACTCCCAGCATGCGTGCCGCGAGCTTGGTGGACAGCGGGCCCGCGACGCCCTCAACGGGATCCGGATCCGATCCTGGCCGACATGCATCGTTGGCTCCCAATCCTCAACAGCAGCAGCAGCAACAACAACAGCCGCAGCAGCATCGACACTCCAACCGATCCATGTCCCAGCCCAGCATCAACAACGTTGGGTCGCATCGTAACAACTCCTCTCAATCTGGCATGAGCAACAATCCGCAACCCATGTCGCCCAATCCCATTTGGCATCACGAATTGATACCGCCACAGCCGACCAATGGCTTCTATCCTCACACAGCACAAGGGGAATTCATGCCCCAGCAACCAAATCAGAACCAGATGCAGAGCGACATGGGGCAGTACTCGGATGCAGATATCAGTCAAATGACGAATGGCAACTCGTTCCAGCATCCCTTCGTGCCACAAGACCTATGGCAGATGCCCATGACGCTCGAATGGGACTGGAGCGACGCAGGCATGGTCGGCCCGACCATGAACATCGGCATGGGCAGTGCGAGTCTGTATGACTTTGCGGGTATGGCGGGAATGGATGGGATGGGCGGTCAGTGATGGGACTCTCCCTTCTGAGTTTTTGATGTAAAGCGCACATCGGACTTTTTTTTGGTTTGTAGTAATAGGCGGATCTTTGTCGTGTAAAGGTGGTTTGTTTCGAGAGCATTTACAGACCCTGAAAAATATCATCCATAGATGCGGGAAATTGTATGAGTTATGAACGTTCAGTCTGCTGGTCAAGGGGTGTTTTCCGATGGTCTGGACATATGTGACACTTGATATACCCTTACTCACCATTGAGACACCAGAATCTGTACAACCACAGACTCGCAGAGCAGCACAGCAGGACTATTTCATGATTTTCAATGAGTTTTGCATATCTGTTATAACTCTCCCTCTTCGGTTTCGAAGTCTATTGAGCTTCGCCTTCCCGCCGGCCGTTCGACTAATTTACATCCCATACCATACCGCTGCTCTTCTTGCTCCCATTTTACAATTGACGATGCAGTATCCATGGGTCGCGAAGACATCGCCAGCATCCAATCCCAAGCCGCTTGACCATGCCCTCGGCAGACAGCGCTTAGGTGGACTTCTTCGATGGAAGTTCGCCATGCCACACCAGGTATGCAAACCGCGTTGAGGTATACCATGCCCATTCGGTATATCATCTCGCGGGTGGCAGACTGTCTGTCCTAATGGAGCGACACAGGACAGAAGCGGGCCATGTCGATTTTGTGCACCGTGCAGAATGCTCGGGTCCTTCTTGGAAGGAGGGCGTGCCTCCCCGGATGCGCGGAAATGTAACCCATAAACCCGACAGACACGTCATGGCCTGCAACTCCGCGGTGCGCACCGCCAGAGCGAGTAGGATGGCTACTCAACTCGAAGAGAGTACCCACCTTGCCCCAGTACGTTGACTGCCGTTCGTGAGTCGGTCAGGCGACCAGACGCTGCGCTTGGGATGCATCGTGCCATTCGCCCGAGCGAGTACGAAGTGTACTCAACCGCGACGCGTAGTCTGGCCCAGCATTGTTCCTGCTCCATGTCGGAATCCTTCTCTGAGTACCCGACGTGTTCGCGCACATCGACTACTGCAGAAGGTGGAAATGGCGATCTCCCCATCCATCCGATCACTCGCAGCTGTCCAGGAGCAAGCAACATAGGCTCCTTCGATGTCCTTCGGCGAAGTACTTGAAGACGTCGTCGAGAAGGGCCTGCGGAGGAGACGAGGGTCCGGTAGTCTGTATACCTGTCCAGACTATACATTTACTCATACGATTACTGCAACTGCGTCCGTGGACTTTCTGCACTATCAACTTCCGAGTCGTAGTAGACTTCGTTGAAGCCAGCCATGTATCTTCATCTTCGTCGGAGAGACGAGCTTCCACCCAACATTGTTCGGGTATCGGACTTTGTACATTGGTACTCCAGCCAGTTTCCGACACAAACGCAGACGTTGCTACATTTGTTGGTGCAGTTGTGCTATTCGACCGACCTCAGTTGCTGGCTTCTCGGAACTACCATGATAATCCTGTATGCCTTGACGGACTTCCGCAAGACACTACTCGACTGCCATGGCGTCTCAAAGCCCTACATTTCCTTGACGACAGGACGAACATCGTGTTCCAGGTCTGAAGTGTCTGCAATGTCTGACACTGCCCAGCAGAAAATGCGATGACCGTCTCGATGTTTGCTCCGGCTTCTGGCTCGTCGTAGCTTTCGTAGAATTTCCGGTATGCAGACTGTTGATCAAACTCCAGTCAAGCCGTCCAGTGCAAGCCCATGACATTCGCTGATGTGGAGCTCTGCGCTTGCCGAGGAACTAGATCCATCAGTCGGTCAAGCTCGTCCAGCTCGTTCGGGAGCCATTTCTTGTCCACTTCCTCAGACTTTTCGTCCATCTCTACGATCCGCTCGGCCTTCCGTTGCTTTAACAACGCGTTTCTCCTCGTGTTGACAGGGCTGCGAGACCTTGCCCACAAGCCTCGAGTCTCGCGCCAGAGATTCAAGTGTTCAACAAGAATATCGAACTTTTCGAAATCGAGATCCATAAGCCTTTCGAGCTCGTCCAGCTCGTTGGGGAGCCATTTATCATGATGCCCGAAGCCGCGGCGCTTCTTCGGTGATGGAGCAGACGCTGACGTGGCAATTGTACATCTGCATATTGTACACGTTCTCTTTATCCTAAGCATGCCATGTATTCTCTTCCAGACCAAACTCTGATGATTCTCTGATGATGGCATTGGCGGGAAAGCGACTTCGGAGACAGAGTTGCTCACGCGCTTCGGGTCTCCCCTGATCCAACCGCAGGTATGACGGTCGATAGTGGACTACTCCACGCTCTGACTCGTGTCGAGGAGGAAAGAGTCCGGCTATGGTTCTGCATACTCGGACGCCATTCCCAACCCATGGTGCAAACCAGCACAATGCATCCAGAACATGACTGCCATGCACCTCGGACACTCCAGATGACAAACGACGCAGAAGTTGCATCACCAGCTGCTGGCGAGATATCGGCGTCTGCGATAATGTGGCGTAATAAGGGCAGCAACAATAATGCCGTCGGTGTTCCGGTCGAAACTCCTCGCGCAGCCCATGTATCGCGCCATGGCGCGCTCTCCGACTACGAGCGAGTGAATGACTTGATCGTGAGGGCAGGCACATCTGACGTCGTGGATAGCGTGCGACCAATTTATTGACTGGCGATAATTCCCACTAGCATCTCCTCGCGAGCGCGCTGCTGATGGAGCATCCGCGTTCCAGGTCTCTGCGCTCCAGCTCGCGATGACTGCACGATGAGCCCAGATCTGGTCGTTCGCTCTGACGATGGCGTGCTGTAACAACTGTTCTCTGATGATGTCCGCCGATGAGTTTTTTCCAGCCATCATCAAGAAGCAATTTTGCCAGAATACGTGGCTATCAAAGTCAAAGAGACCAATAGTGCAGCGTCCAACATGATATCCGGAATATCATCTCTGGAATGTTGGTGTCTGTTGTCATAGCGGTGCTTCATGGACTGTCTTGTGAATATCACCGCGTCAGCTGCAGCTCCTCGTATTTCAAACCGGGTGTTGCCAAACCGGTCGCGTGGGTTTGCGTGGGAATCCGAGATCCTCCGAATAGTGATCCAATCCACCACGCACATTGCCGTGGCTTTGAAATCGCACAAGTGGAGGCGTGGTCTCGACAGTGGATTCCCAGACCGGATACTCCATGTGTATCTCGCGGTCCATACTTGCATGGCAGTGTAGTGCAACAAAAGGAAGGCAGCGGCATGAGACCAGAAGGAGGTGTCAAGCTAGTGTAATTCCACTACCTGCAGCACTCCGATTGGACCTGCCCGATCGAGCGATGACCCTGGGCCCCTCGGAACGACGTGGCCGAAGCCTACAGCCGTATTCGACTGATGCAATAGACGACAAAAGTCGACGAGGAGGGTATCTTATGATAATGAGAAAGCAGAGATGCCGTGTGCGAGAGAATGCCCTGGTTGAGACAGGAAGGAAGCAAGGAGGTGGCGAAGCAAACAATTGCGCAGCCGGAATTCGTGACTTTGGGGATACATGCAGATGCAAGTGGAAAAGCAAACGAAAGATGCAGTAGCACCATAGGGAGGAGACCAACCAGAAGAGCTTGTACAGCATGACAGCGCATGTCCGACCTCTACTGAAGAACATGCTAGTGGCTCAACGCAACAAGCTTGTGCAACAGCAAACGACAGGCCCAGCATAAGAAACAGTGGGGAAATTGTTGGTGCGAGCACAGATGAATACGAAGCAATCAATGACTCGCATATGGATGTCAGCGTAAGGGGAACATTGGGAACAAGAATGCAAATGCCAGAATGAGAGACAGCGAACAACGGAGGACACACGGAAGAGAGAGTTACACCGCAGAACAGCCTGTCGTGCAGAGTCTCGCCATGATTGTGGGAGCGCTGAGAACGCGTCAGTCATTGCACGTTCTTCGGTACCCGCCTGTGCTTCGCATGCCTGTCTCATTGGTCCTCCTCAATAATGAGGTTATAAGTGCAAAAGTCGATACTTTCTAGGCATCCGTGTAGTAGTCGCGCGAAGGAATAGGTTGCCCATTGGAGGATAGCATGGTGTCGGGAGCCAAGCCGGATGCCCCCAGACTTGTAGGGATCTCAAGAAGAACGAAAATTGCGGCTGCGTGCTGTCGTGGTGCTGCAAAGATTGCACAATTGAATCGTGAGTGTCTGATTCGGGCGATATCAAGAATGAGTTTAGCAGTCAACTGTATATATATTTTCTAGCCTTCCAACTTGACGAATTCGAAGTGGTTCTTTGGCGCAATGGTAGCGCGTCCGCCTCCTATTTATTATGGGGTTCCTGCCCGGATAGCGGAAGGTTGTGGGTTCGAGTCCCATGAGAATCGCATTTTGGCATCGCCGACATCTGTTTTTGTCCCTGTATATAGCTCATGTCACGAATCAAGCACTTCGTTGTGACTTTGTTGTGACTGTTGGATTTTGTGCAGCGAGGAATGTTCTTTGGGGACGTCGATCGAAACGCATGGTATGGACAATGTCGTGAACGCAATACCACTACAAGAATCGCGCAAAACGTCAATGAGCCGAAATCGACGTCATACGAGCAGCAATACGACGATTGTTGAGAAGATAACATATTTGGGCCATTTATACGTTGAGTCATTCCAAAGATGGACGGACGCCTGAAGCCGAAGTGGAAGTGTATCAGCCACTAGGGAAGCAAACGCAATATCGACTCGACGCCGTCTATTGCCGGATCCAAAAAGCGCCAGGGCCTAATCCTGCTTCCTACGCTGGCGTGTGGCTCGCTCATTATTGTTCACGTAGAGTTTCTGTCAGATTGAAAGAAGCAAGTCCGTCCATTGCCCAGGCATCCGGACGCGGTCTTAGCAAAGAACTCTGCTTTGATCTTTCGGAGGTCGATCTCCTCTTCCAGTGATTGTTGCATAGCGGGGAAGAGGGTGGACAGCGGGACAACCCCTGATTCGAGACTGAGGAACCTCATACCTCCATCAGATGCAAGAGATTGGGAAGAGTGGCCGAGAAGGACATCTTTCATCGACACTCTCGTCCCGTCCGGCAAGCAAGCGGTGCAACACAAGTAGATCGAAAGCCTGACTGCTACAACCGCATTGAGACAGTGGCAGAAATCAGCATGGAAAATAATTGTAGCCCGTCAGGTTTGGGAGCGGAAAGAAATAACAATATCGACCAATGCCACCGAACCGGAAGTCTGGCGCAAGCCACCTGCTCAGCGAGTCCCCGTTGATCTGCACATGGCTGCGAACCCTCTTTCTTGACGCTTCCTTCTCCGTTGCCAACCCGAACACTTTCCAACGGGCTTGCTGCGTCTCACACGCTTCAGAAGATGGGCAGGGGACCAGATCTTTGACAGCTTCATGGCCTGGCGGGTAGACCTCGCCCTTGTCAAACGACCTCCACTCGACCCATTCACCAAGGGACCCCGGTCCTGCTCGTGAGCGCACTCTGTTACGGCGCCCTGTCCCGCTCAAACTCAATCGCCAGGTGCACGGAATCGATCTGCACTTCCTTCCTCACCTCCCGATCCTGCGCTCTCTTCGGCTCGCACCCCTGCTAGGTTGTCCTCCAAGATGTCCCCGCGGGATGTCCTCATCGCGCATCGCATCGACTTCCCCGGACTTAGTGGCGATCCTCGTCTGCGGGACCTTCAGGCGTGCCTCTCTGCGCTCCAATCCAGAGGCCGCATGCTTCTAAATTGCCTCTAAGCCGGGATCTGGCGTCAATGGCTGGTAGAAGCTCCGCACCTGGCTCCTGCAAGGTATGTGTAAAGCTCTGGTAAGTTTGCAAACTACATCTATGGCGGATCGTCCCTCGGGTTGCCTCTCTCCTCAAGTTTCTTCCTCGTTTCGCTCTCCGCTATTGACAGTCTCGAGTCGCGGAAGGCGAAGGTGACAGACCACCATGGCAATTTTCAACAAACATCTAGGCTTCCGTGGCCGTTCACTCAGTGCCGCCATCACCTTTGCTTGCGGCCTGATCTTCGTGTGAGTGTGATTTCAAGAGACGCAAGTCCTGGCCCATCTCGTCTGGCGAATATGTGGCTTGCCTCGGTGCTAATGTGAAGCAGCGCATTTGGGTACGGCCAATCTGATGTCGGCGGTCTGATTACCTTGCCTCTCTTCCAGGACACTTACCCACAACTCGACGTGCTGAATGGACCTCCCCAATCTATGCGCACAATAGCGGTGGACCAAGGTCGGTCGATCGATCACTGTAAAGTGAGCTGCCTACTCATGCGTATCAGGTATCGTCGTCTCGTCGTGGAACCTTGGCTGCTTCGTGTCTGCGCTCGCCACCATCTTCATTGGAGACAAGCTCGGCCGTCGCAGAACTTTGATGCTGGGGATCTCATTACTCATCATCGGCAAAATCATTCAGGCATCGTCATTTAGCTTAGGACAATATGTCACTGGCCGGGTCATTGCTGGTCTTGGAAATGGGTAAGTTCGTCCAACGTGTTTGACCGAGCGCAAATGGTAACATGCCTGTCCAGCTTCAATGCCTCCACTGCACCGGCATGGCAGGCTGAATGCACCAAGGCTCACCGACGTGGTCGCATGCTCATGGTGTCGTCCGGCGCGTGTATTGCCTTTGGTGTCGCGGCGGCCTATTGGATGGACTTTGCTCTTGCCTTTTCGGCCCCGAACTCGGCTTCGTGGCGCTTCCCTGTAGCAGGGCAGGTAATCTGGGTTCTGCCGTGCCTATTCCTCTTGCAGCATCTTCCCGAATCACCCCGCTGGCTCATTCTGCAGGGCCGTGAAGAGGAAGCACTGGATGTCTTCTCTGCACTCAACGACATCGATGCCAGCCACGCCGACATTCGCGCCGAGTTCTTGCAAATCAAGGACGCGATCTTACAAATGGCATCGGGTGATCCAAAACAGGCTTTCTCGATGGGTGATTACCGCTACCTTCACCGCATCTTACTGGCTGTCCTGCTCCAATTCATGCAGCAGTGGACTGGCATCAACCTCTTCATCCAGTATCTAGGTCAAATGTTCGTCTCCCAAGCTGGTTTCGACGGCTGGCGCGCACGACTCCTCGCCGCCGGCGCATCCTCAGAATACTTCCTAGTCTCCTTCGTCGCCGTCATCGGCATCGACCGCTTCTGGGGCCGCAGATCGCTGACCATGTTCGCCTCAAGCGGCATGTGCGTATGCATGATAATTCTCGCGATCTCAAACTACTTCAACAGCGACGCGACCAAGATATTACTAGCAGTCATGCTATTCATCTACATCAGCTTCTTCGCCATCGGCTGGCAGGGCATGAGCTGGCTCTGGGCCGTCGAGCTGATTCCTCTCCCCGTGCGCGGGCCGGCAAACGCCCTCGCCACGTCCTCGAACTGGCTGAGCAACTTTATCGTCGTCTTCGTCGCCCCCATTGCATTCACGCGCATCGGATGGCACACGTACATCATCTTCGCAGTCTCGTACGTCTGCCCCTCCTCCTCCCCTCTCCCCGTCTCTTACTGTTGCTAACTGGAGTTTAGAAACTTCCTCTTCGTGCCTACAATCTACCTCCTCTACCCGGAAACCGGGTGCCGCAGTCTAGAAGAAGTCGACGTGCTCTTCCACCTCGCGTCGCGCACGACCCACCCTTGGCTTTCCGTCAGAGACGTCGCGGTCGCGGAACCGCTCTGGTACGGCAAGAACGGGCGCAAACCGTTTGCGTACGAGCAGTCGGAGTGGCATTTGAGGTTTGCAAGACTGAGTAGTGATGAGGATTATACCACCACGTCGAGGAGTGGCGAGGGGAGTGTTGGTGGTGGGCGGAGTTTGAGTGCTGGTGGTGCTGGTGGGGGGCTGCAGATGAGGGAGAAGGAGGCTGGGCTGGTGTGAGCTTTCACTAGTGATGGAGGAGAAGTGGTGTGCGTCGAGAGGACGGTAGATGTACTGGTTGAGTCTATCCTTCGAGCGATTATTTGTCTATCTTGTGACTAGGTGGGATACCCATCATTTGCCCGATTTCAGCGTCAGATGCAATATTCAATCGCGGGCGAGGTCTGGCACTGCAAACACCCCCGACGTTTGTCCTCTGTCGTCCAACACATGTCCTTCTTATTACATATTGCATGTGCTCGACCTAGCATGAATCCCTTCGCAGCGGAGTCGTCCAGTCACATTAATGCCACGTCCCATTTATCGCTGTCGGATCATCCATGCGGTCAGCAGTGCCCGACTCCTGAAATGGGAAACCTTCACATGCGCCTTCTCGTGCCTATTGATGAGCTGTAGCGCCCTCTCGACTTTCCCGCTCATTCTCCGCCCATTTGCACGTCATCACGGGTCCTCCCTTGTGTCGGAGAAGATGCGCTCCCCATTACCGCCACAGGAGCAGTCTGCTGGATGAAGCTGTACTCAGGGACGATATCGACTGCACCGTCAGCTGCAAAGGACGACAGATTCGAGCCATCAAACAAGGTCGTAGCAGCACTTTTGTCAGTCCGAGCACCTCCTCGCTCCTCAGCCCAACGGCGGAAGATGCACATGATACCCAACTGGCCGCCGGCGACGCACCAGCTGCCGCAATTGGACCATGCGAATTGGCGGACTGCGAAATTGTATCGAGGCACGGTGATGGTGTAGTGCGGGGCGATGGGACGGAAGGGATCTGACACGTCGAAACGAGACTCGTTCAGCTTTTGGCGTTGAGACTTTGCCTTTGATTTTTGTTGGTGGCCTATACCGTTCGTTTTGCCATGCCCGGACGGAGTCTTCTCTACTCCGTCGGAGTCGCTTGACATGTCGTTGTCGGACTCGTCGTCTAGTCCGTCCTCGAGGGCTTGTAGATCCCAGAAGGAAAATTTGGAGCGTTCGTTGCCCATGGCGAGAATAGGATGGTGGTTTGGTCCAGCGAACAGAGAGAAGCGCATGTAGAATGGTGACGTGTTTGGCATGTCGAAGGTGAGAAGACGCTGGAACCGCCCACCGAATGCAGAGCGTGTATAGAGTCCGGGCTTAGCGACGGGAGGATTGTTAGGGACGGGAGCAGCAGATGAGAAGCCGTCAATCTTCCATAGCAGAATAGCATTGGTCCTGTATTCATTCTGGCCATATGATGCGGCATGGGATAGTATCAAGTCGCCGTGGAAACATAAGCAATCGACGTAATTAGGGTGAACCTCAGTACTCGAGAAGAGTGGAAAATGCACGCAGGTGGTCTTATCTGTGCCGGCGTTGCGATCAGGTACGTCTGGGACTGGCCAAAGGTTGACCATAGTGTCAAGTCCGCCTGAGAGCAGATATTTGCCACTAGCGTGAAATCCCTAGCATATTCAGGTCAGCAGGTTTTGTGGCCTTAGGGGCAGAAGGGTATACCAGAGCAAGAACGGGCTGTTTGT